AGGCACAGGCGCAGGTGCAGGTGCAGGTGCAGAACGCGGGACTGGGCTCGGGCACCTGTGCTGGGGCTTCCTGGGGGTCCCCCGCCGCTTGCTCTGGAGCCCAAGCCACGCCCGAATGCCTGGGGAACAGAGTCCCCGACCCGAGTCCGTGGGTGACACCCCCTTACTACCCTAAGATGCAGTCGCCCTTGCATCCGTCCCGAGGAAGAGCTCCTGACGCGTCTCTTTGGATGCCACCCCAAGCCTGTTCCGGGGCGCAGACATCCCCAGAGCCTGGGAACCTGGCCATCCCCTGGACGCCTCCCCCGGCTCCTCCTGAGCTGGCTGCAGTGTACCAGGTAGGTGCCGAGCACCTCGTCCCTTCCCTTGGGGTTGTCCCAGGTTTCGGCAGCCAATGGAGGGGGTGGATAGTCCCCAGTCTGCAGACAATCTACTACTTTTCAGATCCTGAGTTCTCGAATCCTAGGTTATCTAATGGAGGGGAGGATGGAGAGGACCCTAAAAGTTAGGGCCCTGGGATGTTAAGGCTACCTAGCAGTCTTGACAACTGTGGATTGCCCTCATATTGGCTCAAGAGCCCAGGAGGTGGAGAAGGCCATGGTCAGGAAACCCTAAATGTTCCATTAAAGGTTCAGTGGGGGGGGGGGGTAAGCTTGATAAGTTGGACTTGAAGCTCCTGACCATCATGTTTCCTCAAGCTTTGATCATCTGTAAGATCCATAATTACTTGTGGTTTGTAAAAGATCATATTAATAACCAAAATTTATCAAGCACTTAACTTTTGCCATCCTTGGCATTTTACATATGCATTAATTCATTTAGCTTTCCCAGTAATTCCATAAGGTAGGTATTATTATCCCCATGTTACAGATGCGAAAACCGAGACTAGAAGACATTATTTGGGGTGGCCTGATAGGTAAGGCACTGGATCCCAAATACCCAACTTTGTGGTTTGAGTTCTGGGCCTGGCGACTTGAAAAACACAGTGGGTGTGTGTGCCCAAAATCTCCAAAGGAGAATGGAGGAGACAAGATTCAGAGATTCCAACCTGGCCATCTCCCTTCAGGGGTCATTTTTCACTTTCTCTCTCTTTGTCTCTCTCTGGTAAGCACACATAAACTGAAAAAATAATAATAATAAAATTTAAAAAGGTGGCAAGGCTGGAATTTAAGCTTGTCAGTGCTATTATTAACCACTTGCTTTACCACATTCATTGTGCCAGGGCTGTCCAGATGCTGCCAACCACAGTCTGGGTTCAGGACCTCTGAGCAGTGGCCCACTGACAAGCTGTTCCTGCCTCTCTTACAGGCTATCTCTGTGTCTCCAGAGGCCTGTCTGTCATCAGGAGACCCACCCCTCGTGCCCCGCCCATCATGCCAGAGACTGCAGCCTCAGATCCAGTGGGGGTGCTGGAGCGACAGGGCAGAGCTGCTCCCAGGCTCAGAGGACCAGGGATCCACCCCCACCTTCCAGCTCAGTGAAGCAGGCCCTCCCCAGAGCTCAGACCTGCAGCTCAGTGGCTGCCCTGAACTTTGGCAAGAAGATTTGGAAGGGGCCCACCTGGACATTTTCTACTAATGCCTTGGCCTGCCAGGCATCCAGCCTGTACTGTGGGTGCCCTCGTGTGCTACTTCAATGGTTTTCCAAGTTTTCCTTTAGCCAAGAATCCCTTTTTCTGAATGAAATCTTTCTTGGAAACTCTGTTTGAACAGATAGTGGGTACCCTCTCTGGCTGGAATGGGAGCAGGGGCAGTGTCCACCACCACCAGGCACCCCCCCCAACCCAATGCCCAGAATTCTTCAGAGCAGTCTAGGCTGCGTGTAAAAGGGAGCTACTTGGGGCTGGCAGGTGGCATGGTGGCTAAGGCACTGGACTCCCACATAGCTGACTGTGGTTTGAGTTCCAGACCTGGTGGCTTGCTTTCTCACTTTCCCTTTCTCTCTCTCTCTCTCTCTGGTCAAATAAAAAAAATTAATAATAACAAATAGAACTAAATTAATTTTTTTAAAAAGAAGAAAAGAAGAAGAAGAAGAATGGGGCTGCTTAATTCTAGGCTGGGCTGGGACTGGTGGGAAATGAGGTGTAGGGGGCAGGCACCATGCTCTGCTTCTTGGTGACAGCTGACCAAAAAGCTTATGTGCTTAGATTTTTTGGTAATTAAAAAAAAAAGCCAAAAATTTTGTTTGGTCTATTTTTCTTCTATCAACCTGAGTTTTTCTTGCTTCTGGAGAAAGAAAAACTGTCCCATCCTGTGGAGAATAAGTCATGCTGCTTTTCCCTTCCCTGATCCCTCACCTACCCAGCTTGACAGTGTATACCTGAACTGTGCCAGGGTCCAGGGCCAGGGCCTCTGACCTGGCCCATTGTATAAGACGGCACAGGTGGGCTAAGGCTTGGGCCTGTTTACTTGCCTCAATCAATCACCATTGCCCTTTTGCATTCTTCTGGTACTTTCTTGCTGATTGGTGAGGTGGGTGCATGTAGCTGTGGACAGACAAGGCCCCCACATGAGGACACAGTGACTGAGAGCCTCAGCGACCTGTGATTTAGGGCTCTGCCACAATTCTTTTCAAAGGCTGCAGTGGGTGGCTCTAGCTGCCCAACTAAAATTCAGGGTCCCATTTCGAGAGCATAATTTGGTGTGTCGGGTTCCCAGGTTAAAATCCCAATTGTCTAAACCTCATCCTGGGAACCTCTAGTTTTAACAAGATCCTTGGGACCAGCAGATGGTTATGTTGCTGGACTCCCACAGTCAACTGCGGTTTGTGTCCCGGACACAGTGGCTTAAAACTCATGCCGGGCATGTGTGCGTGCGTGCCCAAAATCCCAAGAGGAGAATGGAGGAGGAGGGACTGCAGTGTGACCATCTCCCCTGGGGGGTGATTTCTCGCTTTCTCTCTCTCTCAGGCACCCTAGAGCAAAAATCTCTCAAAAAACAAAACAAAACACAACCAAGATCCTCTTCAGGAGATTCTGAGACCCAGCCAGATTGGGAGCAATGGATAATCTTCACCCGTTCATTTTACAGCTGAGAAAATGGAGGCTCAAGGAGCGGAGGAACTTCCATTAAGGCCCCAGCTAGGTCTGGACTTCAGGCCTCTGACTCCTAGTCCAGTGTTCTCTCCTTCCCAAGGTCTTGGCTCCAGTCTCACAGCATCTGCACCCAAGGTGGAACGGAACAGCTGCCCTGTGTGTCCCTCTGGCTCCCACCTATCTGGAGTCAGTCCTCCTGGGGCAGAGGACGGCCTTCTCCAGCCATGATTCCCCAGCCCTGAGGCCCAACCAAGATTCACCAGCAACAACCAGAGGAGCATCTTCTAGAACATGGCGGCTGGGTGCCCAGCTGTACTCATTGGGTTCCTCTAGAGCGTACGAAGGCCCCCGACTCGGCCCAGCAGGTAGCATGTGGGAGACCCATCTAGAGTTGCCCAGGAGATAGCCTAGATGCTGCCCGAATGAGGCAGCTGGCCAGGCCGGACAGACCAATTCTCCCACCCGTTCTCACCCTCTGAGTGAAAGCTCGGCCCTGCTTCTTTTAGCAGCAACCCCTCAGGGCCTCCTGTCTGTCTGTCTGTGGCTCCATCCCAGATAGGCTGTTCAGGCTATAGTTCTCTGCTACTGACAAATGCCTGGCAGGGGAGGGAGCTATTGCTGCTGGTGCCCCACCAGGGCAACTGGCTTACCTGCACCATTCTGAGGACCCCTGTCACCATCTGTGAGAGGCTGAGGACCTCACCCGAGTCTTTCAATGACCCTGCACTATGGGGAACGTGCTAGTTTGACATCCAGACAAACGAGACTTGAAGCCATGAACCGCTTCACCCACGTCTGAGTTGTGCTGAAAGGCTGGCTCCGCTGGGTCTAGGTCAATTCCCTTACCTGTTGCACTGAGTGAGGAGCCTGCTGGGCCATGTCAGGAGGGCAGCCGGCTGCTTCTGGCTGACCTTCAGCACCTCCCAT